TTAAACCCAGGTCTCCCTCATTGCAGGCAGATTCTTTACTGTCTGAGCTTCCAGAGAAGCCCTGGGAAGCCCTCAAGTTACATGAAATTTCATAGAATGGCATAAAAGAATGGCTCAAAAATGGGAGAATTTTCCTTCATTCCTAAAAAGGAACTATGTCCAATAGAAGCTGTGAAGATTCTCAAGCACATGAAATCTTCAGTTTTAGTACCAAAGCCTGTCTTTGTGCATCTAAGAACTTTACTCTGAGAGGGGCTTCTTACAACACCAGGATGGACTGGGTGGTGCGCTCCTCCCTCCAATAATTGTGTAGAAACATTGACGTTTGCCCTCAGCCAGCACAGTATGAAGTTTGCAAGTGTTGATTAAAGACATGCAAGCTTTGATTCAGAATCTCAGGATTTTTCTGTAATTGAGCCTTTTCAGAACCATGGTTTTATTTTTTTAAATCAAAATCATGTGAACTATCACAATGAACAAAACATCAGAATTTTAAATAAAGATTGGACTGATAATGCTGTACTGAACCACATTGGAACCCAAGACAAAAGGAAAAATGGGAGTCCCTCAGTCCCTAGAGCTGACCTCCGAACAATGCAAGCATTGTGTGCACCAACCTACCAAATAGAAGAAAATCTGTGTGTAACTTTACAGTGGACCCTCCCTATTGGAGAAGGAAATGGCAACCCACTCCAGTATTCTTGCCTGGAGAATCCCATGGACAGAGGAGCTTGAGGGGCTATAGTCCATGGGGTCGCAAAAGAGTCAGACACAACTTAGCGACTAAACAACATCCGTGGATTCAACCAACCATGGATGGTTTTGTATTGTAGTATTTACTATTGAAAAAAAATCTTCATATGAGTGGACCTGTGCAGTTCAAACCTGTGCTTTTCAGGGCCACCGGTACATGTTTTCTGTGGTTTTAATGGTTAAATGTTTCCATAATTTTATTTTGAAAAATATTATTTGAGTTTCTTCTATTGTGGGCTTCCCTGGTGGCTCAGATGGTAAAGAATCTGCCCGCAATGCAGGAGACCCAGGTTCAGTCCCTGAGTTGGGATGATCCCCTGGAGAAGGGAATGGATACACACTCCAGTATTCTTGTCTGGAGAACTCCAGGGACAGAGGAGTCTGGTAGGCTACAGTTAAAACCAATAAAATTTTAATACATTCTAGTTTTCATATAAATATTTCAACTTACACTAAGTTGTGAGTTTTACTACACCTACTTTTCAATGTTCCACTATTTTTTACACTACTATAATATTCTGGGGGGGAAATTAGCTGTAGTCCCAGCACCATGTAGCAAAAATGTCTGCAGCAGTTCAATATGTCAAGATATACACACTTCTGAATAGTGTATATTTATACTACTTTATACAGAGGGCCTGAGAAGACAGTGTCTGGACAAACAGTTTATTGGATTTTATTCCAGGAAAACCTAAAAATCCTGTGAGAAAAATATTTATTCCCTTCCCAGAAACTTACCCCAGTTTCATGCATGCTTCCCCAACACATGAAAGAAGATGCCAGATGCAGACTGTGGAGTGAAATAGGACAGTATTTATATCTCAGCTGTAGGAATCCTTTAGGCGAGGAAAGAGTTGCTACCCTACCAAGTCTTTAGGGAGCATCTCATTTAATTGGACAAAGCAGATCCCCTTAGGACTAGTCTCCAGAGGTCACTGACCAGAGAGGGTGGGTAATCTACTCCTAGCTACAGCAGTCTGTCCAAACTCCACCTGCTAACAATTTCATTTCTCAGGCTAACATACAGACACAGAGTGGACTAGTGGATACTAATTGCTGCTAGTCAGTACACAGAATGTTAAAGCCCTGCCTATATTGCTGGACCTCAATGAACATGGAAACCTGTGGGGATGTAGAAGAAATAGTAGGTCAGGAGGAGCTAAGCGGTGTGTGTGTGTCCAAATGATTCCCAGTCATAAAATTAGATGCTACATAACAATGAAAGGTCCAAAGGTCAACGACCTCACCAACATTTTAAAATAATCAATCCAGTAACATACACATTGACCTCTATGCCAGATTCAAGAACCATAATAATGAATGAGACAAATTCTCTGTCCTCACAGAACTCAAGTTCTCATGGTTTCATAGAGTGATAAATAATGAGCTGAAACCATAAATACCCTTGCTGTGAGACCCAGAGAACAAGATGATCACCTCTGAGTTGGGGGAGATTGGCAAAGACTTCAAAGAGGAGTTGACATTAGGACTCTACCATTTGCCAGCTGTGTGGTCTTGATTATTTATCCTAGCAGAGCTTTTGCTGCCCCATGTATAAGACAGAGGCAGCAACAGTACTATCTCATGAGGTTGTATGAGGATTAAATGAGTTAATGCAGCAGAGCACTTAACATGGTTCCTAGCATACAGTAATTTCCTACTAAAGATTAGCTTTTGTTATAGTTATTATTATCATTAATATTACAATATTATGTATTAATGTACTACTACATGGTGATGTGTTTTGAGGTAATGATAGAAAAGTAAATCAGGGCTAGATTATTAAATTATTAGACTATTAAATTAATGCTTAGTCTAGATATTACTCTGTGGTCCTATGACTACCAAATTGGGGCTGATCAAACTCCAGGTTACTTTACCAGTGTAAACTGATGTGCTATCAAGAAGTTACATAAACACAGATATAAATATCTATGGTCACAAATGTGTGGGAAAGGCCGAAAACTCTAGCCCTCTCTCTCTTGGATAGCCATGTGCATGACTCACAGTGTCAGCATTTTTCATGCTTATTTGGCTACGGAAATTTTCTGTAAAACATCCATTATGATACCTTTTATTTCTACAAAATATTCTGTGGAAAACACTTCTGTAAGTAATGAAGACTATTTGAAAATATTTGACATAAAGTAGTATGATTGGCCATGCCCTTTAGAATGCTTAACTTTGGGTCAATTTATAGTTGAGTTTACAGTGTAAAAGATTAAAAACATTGAAATCAACTTAAAAACTAATGCAATATCTGATGTGAAAGACGATAGGGAATATAAGTAATGGATAGAAACAATGTTAAAAAGAAACCTAACAAGAAGGCTGATAGCCTTAGTCAACTATTTCTCAGATACTTATTACTATGAGCTAAAAATAAGTGCTGTATATATGGTTTATTTCATTTAATCTTCTCATCCCCACAGGTTTCTCTTTCTGCTCTCATTTTACAGACTTAAAAATTGAGGACTAAAAACATTGAATAAATTTCACAAGTTCACACAGCTGGAAAATGATGGGGACAGGACTGGAATCCTGATACAACTTCAAAAGCTACCCAGATCTATTTAGTAGTAGAATCAATATCAGTAACAACCAATTCTTGGGGAGCAGGCTAGAGAGGAAGAATTTGAGTAACTCCCCAGGGTTTCCGGTTCAATGAAGTTGATACAATTATCATAATCTAGTTTCTAAGAAAAGGAACAATAAGAAAAGCTACCATGAATGGTAGTTCTATATCCTGGAGATGATACCCAGTTGATAGGTGGATTTTTATGTATCTGAAACTCAAATGAGAATTCTAGGAAGGAGAGAGAGATGGGGGACCCATTAGCACAGTTTGTGGATGAGGAAATGAGTATATATGGCCTTTTCTGAAAAAGCATGAAAGAATTAGAGTCCAGATCGGTAACTTCAAGAAACTACTCCAATTTTGCCAACCTGGCCAGGAACAATGTGCTATAATTCCTAATATTGAGGTTATTCAGAAGCCAACTATAAGAGAATATCAAGAGAACCCTGTTTCCTCCACCCTTGATATTCCCTAGTCTCTGAGATATGGCAAATGTGTGACAAGTAAGAAGACCTGTACTGTGTCAGCAGCTTATTTGTCTCTAAGACACCAAACTACCTTTGTAAGGAAATGGTTTACCAATCACTGGGTTTGTGGACTAATTTAGCTGAACATTCAGTGCATAACAGAGATGCACTTTCTAACTTTGAGGAGGTAAACGTGCTGTCATTCATTTTTCAAACATTTTATTATGTTCCAGGCATTTCGTGAAGTACTGAGCATACAAATATGAGTGATACACACTCTTCTGATTTCAAAGAGTTTACAGTCAGTTAGGTGTACAAATAAAAACCCTAATAACTCAGTACATACATTTTGAGATCTGCACAAGATTCAATAGATGTACAGAGATAGGAGGCTTGGAGTGTCTGGAAAAACCAGAAGGAAGATGAAGAAAAAGGGAGAGAGAGAGGAAGGGAAGGAAAAGCTCTCTCAGTCCAGGAAATCTCTGTGCTTCACACCTAGTTTCCTTGATAAGCTGGGAGTGAGGATTCAAAGGAAGCCATTAGTCCAGAGAGGAAGCAGAGCACCAAGCCATAATATCAAAGAACCGGTGGACCACCCCGTCCCGGATGTGCTTAGTCTTTACGCCATAGACGATGGGGTTGAGCGTTGGTGGCACCACCACATAAAGATTGGCTAGCAGGATATGGACATGCTGAGGTATGTTATGTCCAAAGCGATGGGTCAATAACGTAAAGAAGGAGGGGACATAAAACATGAGGATGACACAGAGGTGGGAACCACAGGTGCTGAGGGCCTTGTGCCGAGCGTCCTGGGAGGGCAAACGAAACACTGCTCGGAGGATCAGTGAGTACGACACCGAGATGAGGATCACGTCCAAGATGACCATGACAATGGGCACTGAGAAGCCGTACCAGATGTTAACGGTGATGTCAGCACAGGCCAAGCGGGCCACTCCAATATGCTCACAATAGGAGTGGGGGATGATATTGGTCCGGCAGAAAGGCAGTCGATTCAACAAGAAGATCACCGGGAAGATGATACAGAAACTTCGGGTGACAATGGCCACAGCAGTCCTTCCTACCACAGGCCATGTTAGCATTGTCTTGTAATGCAGGGGGATACAGATGGCCACAAACCGGTCAAAGGCCATGGCTAATAGGATGGCTGACTCCCCCACAAACATCATGTGGACAAAGAAAACTTGGGTGACACAGGCATCAAAGGCAATGTCATGAGCATGGAGCCAAAAGATGGCTAGGGCCTTGGGGACAGTAGTGGTGGACAGCAGGATGTCCGTGATGGCCAGCATGGAGAGGAAGAAGTACATGGGCTCATGAAGGTTATGTTCTGTGATGATGACCATTATCAGGATACTGTTGCCCAGAACTGCAGTGATATACATGAGGCAGAAGGGTATTGACAGCCAAACATGATAAGCTTCCAACCCAGGGATGCCCAGAAGGACAAAAACTGCAGGGTGGAAGATGGTGAAGTTGGTGTGAGTCATGATGTACTTTAGGATCATCTCTATAATGACAGAAGCAGATGAGTCTGCTGAAAGGCATAGGAACAGAAAGCACCTCTGAGTATATACAGAGATCACAAAAGATAGCATTGGTTTCTGAACCATGGGACTCTGCAGGGGAATGTTCTCCTAGACAAGGCTCAGTTGGGTGTAGAAATGACTTCTGACCCTTGGTGCTTGATTTGCAGGGAGAGCTTCTGTGACAATCACTCTTCAAGAATCAATAGAGGCTTCACCCTGCATCCAGCCACTCTGCTCCCAAACTTTGGTCCCATCCTACATTTCTGACCTCATTCTACCATTTCCACCCAAGCAGCATTTGCCCTCTTACCTGTGTTGTACTTTTTTCTTCCCACAAGATTTTGTTCCTTCTGTGTTAACCTGAATTTCCCTTCCCTTTCCTCTCTGCTTACTCAAATTTTAACCTTAAAATACTTTCTTAAAACATATCACTTTGTAATGGCCCATGTTCATAACAATACATTTCCTTCCTGAACACCTATTAGCTAAACTATATTTAACTTGATTATACTTAATCACATTAAACTTATCTGGCTATTACTTTGAACATTTCACACGAAATTTGCTAATATCCTGGCACTCATGGAAATGGAGTGGCAAGCGGCAATCCAATAGGAGTCTGAAAAATATATTCCTTCATTCTGACCCAAATTAAAACTTTCCCTAAAGGCTGTGAGGAGCAGAGCAGTTGGTGAAATTGAGAGGGGTTCATATTCATTGCTTGCTCTTCCCCAAAATGATTCCATAAAAGTTGTGTTTAAATCTCTTTATCCTTAAGAGCACCCAAGGAAAAGTATTCAGAGTACAGGAAATGAATACACACCTCTCTGGCTCCACTAACATAGCCCTCCTTTTCATCCCACTTTTTCCTTCACTCTCAAAAAATTCAGATTTCCCTTTGGCTAAGAAAATTTAGGCAAAAGGCTTTCTTTGCCTTTACTCCATCCACCACTCAGGTAAGATTTATTTCCTTCTGAAGCTGTGGACTGTCAGCTCTTAGGATTAGGAAAGGAATGAGTGATTAAAAATCTGGAAGGGAATATGGAGGAAAGAGACCGTAGAGAGAGCAAGGGAAGAATTGAGGCTATACTATTAATAGATGGACCTACTGATAATGGCATTCAGATGGTCCCAGGGAGGAGGGCATCCAAAGGAATAAAAGCCCTAGTTTATGAGTCCATCCCCCTGCCTCTATGCAGATGCACTTGCTCAGAGCATAATGGGCTGTGCAGAGGATGCAATGGGACTTAAATTGGACACAGGGAAGGGACCAGGGCCAGCTTCAAACAAGTAAGGGCCTCAGAGGAGTTAATAATTTGACCTCCTTCCGGCCCAGTATATTTTAGATACTCATTTGACTTCTATTCAGAGGAGAGGCTGAGCTTTCCCGGGATAAGCACAGAGATGAAGGGCCACTGGTAACACTGCCCTGCCTCTATTCTAAAGCATCAGCCCCAAATTTATATAAATAAAACCCCCCCAGAAAGGCTGAAGAGGGAGGGAATACATATACTTATTCATGTTGTCGTACAGCAGAAATTAACACAACATTGTAAAGCAGTTATCCGTCAATTTAAAAAAAGATAAAAGTAAAAAAGCCCCACCAAAAAACAAATTCATTTTCCTTAGAAGGAAATTTACTGAAAAATTTTCTCACCACTTCTCCCAACCCTACTAGTTGTTAACATACACCTTCTCAATAAACAATACCTGATATATGACCTCATAACAACCTGGGCTCTCTGCCTATAATTCTAATAATGTCTTATAACCTCAGTAGTGAGACACCAAATTCAAGAGTGGAAGAGGGACTGTGAGGCCTGGTTGGCTGTTTATGAGGTTCTGGAAAAGGCATCTGCCTGTGTGAAGAAGGACTTTCATTTCGTTCAGTGCCTTCCCAGGGCTCCACCTCATCTCTGCTGAGGGTTCTAAGCAGAAGAGTTTTAGACTCATTTAGAAAGAGTCAGAGATCACAGGCACAAGGAACACATCAAAGTCTCACAGTGAGAACCTGTCCAAGCCCTAAGAAAATATCCAGATGCAGATGAGCAAAAAAAAAAAAAAAAAAGAACAGCAGAGATGAGGCAAGGAGCCATGGTGAGTGGGAGAGAATATGGTATGGTACGTGAGGACCCTGACTTCTGGAGCCAACTTCTGGGTTAATTTCCCAGTTCTTCCCTAACTTGATGATCCTAGGCAAGCCACTTTACTTCTGCACGCTTCCATTTTCTCATTTGTAAGATGTGGATAACAATGAACTTTATGAGGTGAAAAGTGAAAGTTTTAGTCACTCAGTCATATCCTATGCTTTGCCACCCCATGGACTGTAGCCTGCCGGGCTCTTCTGTCCATGGAATTCTCCAGGCAAGAGTACTAGAGTGGGTAGCCATTCCCTTCTCCAGGGGATCTGCTGACCCAGGAATCAAAACTGAGTCTCCTGCATTGCAGGCCAATTCTTTACCATCTGAGCCACCAGGGAAGCCCTTGTGAGGTAATTAAGAGGATTAAATGAGTTAATTCATATAAAGTGCCCAAAATAGTAGATCATTATTATTTATAAACCTATTTGGCCATCATCCTATTGTATTATTTTCACTAAGCAAAACACATTAATGAATATTCAGCAATATTAAAGTCTTATTCTTCATCTAAATATAACCAAAGGAAGTTTCTTTTCTAGGGATAAAGAAGAGGTAAAGAGATGAGAGAAGTACCCAAGGAGAGAAAAAAGAAAACATATCTCTCAGATAGTGTCTCAAAACCAAGACCTGGGGGGCTTCCCTGGCAGTCCAGTGGTTAAGACTCCACACTTCTGCTGCAGGGGATGAAGGTTTGATCTCTAGTCAGTGAAGTTCCACATGCTCTTCGGTTCAGCAAAAAAAAAATAAGATCTGAGGGCTTTGTGGTACACCAGGAAAGTTCACAGTGATGGACTTAGTTGGATCAGAACTGTCTGCTAGGCTTCCCTCAAGTGCTTTGAAATACATGTATCTGTCAAAGCAGAAACAGAGATTATCTCCATTATTTACAGAATCCCCAGGGACATGGCACAGCGATGGGCATCAGAGCTTCAGCTCCAGGACCGAGAACTAGGAGTGGGAATCAGGGAAGATTCAGTCCAGGGAGGAGAAGTGAAGCCACTTCTTCCCTGCAGCCCCTGACCAGACTCTGCTCTCTCTCTTTCTTCCTAGTGTCTTCTTTTCTTCCTGTGAGTCCCACCCAACTCTATTTTTTGATTATGCCTACTCTCTCTCTATGGAAAGGGAAATGGCAACCCACTCCAGTATTCTTGCCTGGAAAATCCCATGCACTGAGGATCATGGTAGGCTAAAGTCCATGGGGTCGCAAAGAGTTGGACACAACTAAGTGAATTCACCTCACTTCACTTCACTTCACTCTATTTCTAAGGGGTTATATAAAAGCCTTTCATGTCTTAATGCATCTTTATTTTGGAAGATTCTTCTAACTCTCATAACAACATACTAAAATTCACCCACAAACCACATCAGATATAATTGTAAGATAAATGTATAGGAGTTAAGTCAATTACTTTTTGCCTAGTTGTATTATCTAGACATTTATTTAAACAAGTATTAATTTTATTTTGCCATTTTTCCGGGGCATGTGTTTCAGATCTCAAGTGCTTTTCACCACTCTCAGGTTCTTTAAAGTGCACAGGGTCTAAACACTGAAGCCATGTCTCTAACAGAGAGAATACCCTTCTCCCTCCCACTCTAGATTATAAGGCTGGCCTCTGTGTGCAGCACAGTGTATGGAAGCATAGTTGGGGGATGTGTCACAAGAAGTTTGCTTCTAATAATACATAAAGCACCGACATTTATAAATGGCTCACCCTTTTAATAAATTAGAGCAAATTCAGATTTATACTTCTAATAGCCTCACTCTTACGCATGTACACTGAAAGCTGGCATATAAAATGCTCCATAATCTAAAGCCAGTGTTATTTATGTTGCAGAGGCCCTGATATGCCCTTAATTAACTAACATATCTTTAATAGAGACTCATTTTTTTTAATAAATAAACATCTCAAGAAAAATGTCCCACTACCCCCATTTGCTTCACTCCTCATAAGAATTTTGAGGATTTTGTCAACATTTAAGTAATCATATGGTGGTGTATCATGTGTAAATATAGCAATAGTCTTATGATGTGATGGCAGAAACAAGGAAGACCCCAGTTCCAAGACACAACCTCTTCTCCCAATTTCTGTATCCATTCTGAAGAATATAGGATGGCAGAATGAATGAGGATTTTTCTGCTTTACACACACCTGACACCCAGATTACCCACATAAAGTTTCCTTAAGAGTTCTCCTTACTTTGGGATTCGGGAGTTCATAGTACTAAGCACAGCATCTGGTTTACTGGAACTTAGGAAACATTTGAACAAATGGACCATGGAATTAGTCAGTTAACCTTTCACCAGTAACTTTGGTTGTTTTTCCAAGGTGGTGCTCACAATCTGAGCCATTTTCATGAACAGCCCCACTTATATCCCCTGTCCTGGTACAGTCTGATTCTGACTGCTCTATGAACTGCCTTCAAAACTTTCAAGTCTCTCTTCTTCCATATTCTTCTGGTGCTTTTCCTGGCCACTTTCTGCATTCACATTCCCAACCAGAGCCACCTCCTTGTCCCACTGACCTCTCCCCGAGCACTCCCTACCCTGAGCTCTGTCATGCTGCAGTCCCTATCTCATCCTTTATCTCGCTGACCTCTTTTCTCCTACGTACCCATCTCCTCTCTCCCAATTCATCTGTGTCCTTTACTGATACTCCTAAATACGCACATGAACACACTCTCCTGCCAATCCCTCCCCCTACCACTCTCAATGAAACTCACCGGCAATATCACAGTATCCGGTGAAGAATTGAGAAAGTGGCAGAGAACAACAGAAAACCCTGCTTGCTCTGAGAGAAGAGAAATGAGATGAAAAGAGAA